GGGGGGGGGGGGATCCTGGGTGTGTACAGCTTGCTGAAGGCAATACAGTCTTGCTCCTTTCCTGGGAGCCAGAGATGAGGATCAAATTCCCAAACTCTGTGGCTCCACAGCTGGGTGCCCCGACTCAATGACCCATCCAGCCTTTGTTAATAACTTGGGTTACAAATAAAAATACGTAGTCATTTTCTGTCTTCTTTTTCCTTCTTATTCATCCTTCATACCCACAAGTTGCATGTAAGCCTGTGGGTTTGGATACTGATGTTTTGCAACCCACAAAAGCTCATGCTACAAATTTTTGTGTGTTTTGAAAAATCTGGAAACAGATGAAAACAGCCAAGTCTGAAAATTATTATAATGTTGGGAGAACATGCAGAGTTGGATAAGTGGGCACGGATGGGCTGTGGATCTGTATCTGAAGGCCAATAATCATTGTTTATATATTTTAGCACACTTTTTGTGTCTCCAGGTATTGCTGAGTTTTAACTCCTAGAGGTCACCACCAATATGTCAATGGGTCAAGGATTCTGGGAATTGTAGTCCAACAACCAGGCACCAAGATCAGGGACTACTGTGTCAGTGCACAGATACTGGTGGAACCTCAAGCCACCCGCGAGCATTCAAAAAGCATGATGGAAAGAGAAATAGAGTGGAAGGAAGTTTAAATCCAGATCTACTGAACTGTGTTGAAGCCCAGCCAGCTTTGCTCTGTGGCTCTCATGCTCGCTAGAGGGCAGCAGGATTCCACCCTTTAAGCATCGTGGAACAAATGCTTCTGTTCTTAAAGGAATGAAATCTAGCAGATCAAAGGAATAGCAACTGGCCACAAAGCTTCCTCGTGTTGTGGAAAAAGGGTTTCTCAGCTTTCATGGACAAGCGACAAAGGGATGTGTGTTTCCCCAAAGTTTGCCAATAGATGTGTGACAGTGTTGTGGGGGCAGCCAAGGGCCTCACCCGAGGTGCAGCTTCTCCCCTACAAACCTGAGAGAAGGCAGCTCCCCTGTCCCCCCCATTGGTGAAGATTTTTAGGGTAGAATCTACCTGGTGGTGGCCTGGCATGCAAAGAAGCTGCCTTCTGTGCCCGAAGCCAGAGGAGGCCACCTCCACGGGAGGTTCCCAGTAGCTGGAGGCGTTTGTCACATCCTCCTGCTCATACCTGTTTACCCTCCGTGGACTGCAGCAAGTGACTCTTACAGAAAGCAACTGCAAGCATGTGGCATTGAGCTGCATCAGCATTCAACAAAGGTTACCTAAGGTTAGGAACCACTGCTCTAAGGCACCGAGATTTCAGCTGACCCTGCTTTTCTGTCCTACCTTTAACACGTTGCACACACCCACACGCACTCTCTTTCCCCTGCCCTTCCGAGGGTTGCCGAAGGCTGGAGGAAGAGGCGGGAACTTTAAAAAATGGTTTCGGACAAACCTCTAAACGCTGATTGCTGCGCAGAGGGACCCGCGCGAGTCCTCCCATGGTGCAAGGTAAGCCCCGGGAGACCCCCAAAGCTGGGGTGTGTGGTTTCGGGGCACCCCCACCAGGGTTCTGATGGCTTCCCCTGCATCAGAGCTCTGGCGGGGGTGCCCCAAAACCACCTGTGCCTGCTTTAGAGCACTTTGGAAGCTTTTCCTGCACCATCAGAGGACTAGTGGGGGACCTCCAAAGCCGGCAATCGCGGTGAGGGGATCCCCTGCCAGTCCTCCCATGGTGCTTCCCCAGCTCCCTATCCATTAAGTGCCTTAAAAAAATCCCCCCCAGGAACGAATTAATTAATTCTCAATGCATTCCTATGGGAAATTTGGTTTCGCAAGACGATGTTTTCGCAAGACAGCGATTTCCACGGAACGGATTAACATCGTCTTGCGAGGCACCACTGTATATAACTGCATACCGAAGCTGCTGTTCTGTATTTTGAGAACGATGCACAGATCCCGGTTATTTTATGGGGCAAGGGTTCCAGTGACACCTGTGCATTGCCTTTTTATTACAAACCGCCTTCCACAAAATGTAACTACATCACTCATCCTGTATAGACATCCCAGATTCTTTTCTATAAGCAGTAAACTAAGGTTAGGCCACAAAAGATTCTAACAAGCAGGCTTTGGCTGCATAAATGGATGGGTAGGTTAGCGATGAACACTCTCGCACAGAATGGTTATTTCCAAAATCTGCCTTTATTTACATTTCAAGTCAAATCACATGCAAACTTTCTCCCCCCCCCGCTCCACCCCTCCCCCACTTAAGAATAGTGTGATTAGCAAAAAAGAGGCATTAGGATTTTAAAATAGCAATTAAATATACAAAAATATAGCTTACAAAATAATAAACCAGCAAATGTTGTCTTTGTTTTTTTTTCTTTTCCTTAAAAAAAATATTCTGCTGCAGAATTTTTATTTATTTATTTTAGTGTACAAATGCGTCTATGAATCCAGGAAGGAAAATCCCTCAAGGTTCATAAACCGTTTCCAAGAGAGTCACACACTATGTACAAAACAGTTGCAGGAAGGGGTGGGTGGGGGGAACGGGAGAACTCCCATCTGTACCTGGATGGAGGGACTTTTAGAAAACGGGGAAAGGCAATTCCTTGCACCTTGGTAGCTTTGTGTGGACGGCTGCCACCACTAAAATTCTTGCCACGTTATCCAACTGGCTGAAAATGACCCTACCAAGGAAAAGGCGCAGGGGAAAACAGTCTGTGCCGTTGTTAGAAATAACCACGCTGTACAATGTTAATACTGAAAAAGAAACACCCAGCCCCTTCCCTTTTACCCTCTGTACAACCTCAAGCACTGACGGATAAATAAAATAAAAACACTCCCAAATGGGAGATCAAGAAGTGGAGGCTCCCTCTTGCGTAGACCGTGTGAAATAATATGCACAGCTCATCTTGGCCACGGATCCCAGGCAACAGCCGTCTGCGCAGTGCTAATGAATTACTAGACCAATTTGGGGGGGGGGGGATTGAGCCCTTCAACTCCAATCCCCATCAGCCCCTACCACTTAACGTTCAAGGACGATGGGAGTAGAAGGCTTACAATCTGGAGAGCCACCAGTTGCCCAACCCAAGGGAAGCCTTCTTACTTTATGTAACAAAACTTGATGCTTTCAGGAAGCCAAATTAGTAATGAAAGAGGAACGGCATTCTAACTCCCTTATAAGCCCTTTCCCCACCTCTTTTTTGGGGGGGCGGGGTCATAAATCTAATGAAATTTTCATACTTGAAATTAATATCAAGCTATTGTTGCTTGACCATAGTATTGCTTGACAGTGCTACGAAGTCCAAATTTTTGTCAGGGAACTGAAATTGTGGCCTGACCTCTGGTTTGCCACTGCGGGAAGTAGGGTGCTGGATCAGACATGGCTTTGGTCAGATCCAGAACGGACCTTCTTCCATCAGATCACTCACATTACAGTGGACCCTCGACTTACAGACGGCTCGACTTACAGACTTTTCGAGTTACAGATTTCTCTGGCTGCAAAATTTAGATTCCACTTACAGCCGGAGAATCGACCTACAGACCAGAAAAAACCCAAAATGGAACGAAAATAGAATAAAAACCGCTGGTTATGGGATTAATCGGTTTAAAATGCACTGTAGTTCAATGGAGATTCGACCTACAGACTTTTCGACTTGCAGCCACCATTCCAATACGGATTAATTCCTTAAGTAGAGGGTCCACTGTATACAGATCCACCCCAGCAACAAAATCGGCCCTTCACCCTACCAAAACTGCAAAGATGTCAATTTTCAGTTGCACAACAATTGCAAATTTGCTTTTTAATTTTTTACGAATCCTAAATACACTTTTAACTCAACATTGGTGAGCGCCCCTTCTGTGTTAGCAGGTGGCATGAAATGAATTTATTTGTGGGTTTAAAAAGAGATATTTTTTGCTATGTTCTAGAGAGAATGCTTTGATTGATACTGACAAGGTTTTGTCATTCCTCACGTAGGATGAAGTTCTCCATTAAGGTGACAGGAATTTGTGAGATCTGATTCTTTTCCACTTCCTCCCCACCCCCTTCTTCTGTGGCACTTAAAGGAGCCGTTTTCTGAGGCTGGAATCGAGAAAACATCTATCTCAAGTGCTCAACAGAAGCCATCAAGGCCGCTGGGAGAAATTGGCCAGTCTCCTTATGGGGGCATATCTCCACCACCCCCTTGGGGTCTCCAGGCTGTAGATCTGTGGGGGTGGGGGGCCGCTCTCTCTCCAGTTGCCCCCTGCCCCTTTGCACAAAGGAACACAAAGACTCGGCAGGATTTTGCCTTGCTGTTGTTCGCTATAGGCAAACTCGATACGAGGTCACCACCGATAGGTGGAAACGAGGCGGGGAGGGGCACATTTATCCCCAGAGTGTGTTGGAGGGGTCTTCCTGCTGAGCGTGCTGCTGAGTCACTCCATCTTGAGAGGCAGCAAAGATGCACAATCACATAGGGGGCACCTGGTGTGTTCCTTCTCTCTCTCTCTCAAAGTCCCTTACAGGCTCTGGGACCTCCTTCATCCAGCAGGCGCCTGACCTGACCCACGTCCGTCGTAAAGTGCTTGTCACAAAAGGAGAAAAAAAAAAGAAAGGAGGGCGGAAAAAAGAAGAAAGAGAAGCCAAGCCAAACCCAACGGCTGGCCCCGTTTGCCTCCTCCCCGGTCGCGCTGCTGAGCACTACGCTGGGGCTCCGTTTTTTTGGCACGAACTCTTCCGCCCTTCCTCCTTCCGAGCGACTCTTGTGTGCTCTTCAAGAGACAAAGGGAATCCTGCAGGATGCTCGGAAGTGCTCAGCAGCCTCGGGAGAGTCTCTGCGCGGGTCTGTCAGGCTCCGGGTTGCGTCGGAGAAGAAGGAGCGGGCGGGTCTCGGGAAGCTATACCATGTTGGCCGCCCCGGGTAGGGGCTCCTGCGGGGGCCCGTGGGGATCCGGCTTGCTGTGGAGCTGGGCCAGCTGGAGAACGGCCATGTTGCACAGAGGGCAGACCTTCCGCACCTCCAGCCATTTGATGAGGCACCTGCAGGGGGAGACAAAGCGTCGCGTTTAGGCAGGAGCGACTGGCAGGACCATCTCCTCTATGCAGGTCCCTGGTATTTCCAAGATGGTCTCCCATCTAAGTGCTATCCGTGCCTGACCTTGCTGGGCTTTTGACATCAGACAGGACGGTTATGCCCAGGTCAACCCCGTCTATCCAAGCAGCCATGGGTGGCTTTGGACTCCAGTTGTTCCTGAGGCCAACCCGATGTGTCACATGCAACAGCAATGGCATTCAAAGCCTAGGCTGTAGAACATAAGAAGATGCCTGGTACGGGGTCAAAATGGTCCAACTAGCCCTGCATGGTCAGCACCAAAAAGCAGTAGCTGTCCAGGGTGCAACCAGGGCTTTTCCAACCCTACCTGGACATGCATTGGGTTTAAACTGGCATGCAAGATGGGACTTCTGCCCCTGGTTTATGCCCCCCACCCTCCCAGCTAAGGCAACTGTTGCTGATCAGTTGCATGTGCTTGATAAAGAAAAGTTCATTCTGGAGAGCAAAGATCATTCTACCACTGCTTTTAAAATTCTGTTTATCACCACAATGGGCTTCTCGCAACGTCCAAAGTGTCAGTTAGCAAACAAAATCCCCATCTTTGTTTCAAGAGACTTTTGAAAAGGAGGGAAGTCAACAACGTGGGCTTGAACTATGGAGATGGACGGCGAAGCAAAAGGAGACACGTGAATGCTTCGGTCTTCGGAATTCTTTGGAATTCCCTCCCACTGGAGGCCTCTGACACTTCCCTGCAGGGGGGGCGCCATCAGGATGGCGTGGAAATTGCAGGTGCCCAGGAGAAAAAAAGCAGTGGTGCAGACACCTCTGGGTTGCACTGGGCTGTGGCTCTTTTATCTCTCCAGGCGTGGAAAAACCCTGCGTTTTGCCTGTGGCCGTGGTGGCTTGGGCAATCCTTTGTAGTTTGAAGCATTTTCCATTCTGCAGTTTTTATTTATTGGTATTTGATCTCACCGTTTTAACTGTGCTCATGCCTTTTTAGGCGCCCTGGGGAAGCAGGCTTGTAGACGGAGTAGAAGGAAACACTACTCTTTGTAAGATGCTGAGGGTGAGTAAAACTAGATGTAATAATAACCTCGGAGCTACTACTGTGAGTAAAACTAGATGTAATAATAACCTCTGAGCTACTACAGAACTGGAAGGGACCCTACGGATCATCAAGGAGGCCCACTGGGGGAATCAAATTCCCAACCTCTGGTTCGGCAGCCAAAGACCCAAACCGCTGACTTAGCTACCCAGCAGGTCCTAATTTTTGACAGATCTGCCCATCTGCAGATTGGTTGACCCAGCCTGGTCAACCAATCTTTCCAGTCAGCACTTTCCAGGAGAGAACCAGAGCCGCCCCAAACATTTCGCTCGAATCTTAGGTCCTGCTGATGGTGGTGGTGGTGGAGGAGGAGGTTGGCACTTACTTTCTGTGGAAGGCATGTTTGCACGGACAAATCCCCAACTCATCCTTGGGTTTGAACTCCTCCAAACAGACAGCGGCCCTCTGAAAAAGAAGCCAAGGAACCAGAAAGAGAGAGAGAGAGAGGGAGAGAGAGAGGAAGGGTTACCTTTAGGCACCTGCGTGCACCCAGGCCTGCATCCACCCGCCTCTTGCATTCATGATGGAGGTGATCTGACTCTCAAAAGAGAAACATACCGTATTTTCCGTGTATAAGACTATACTTTTGTCCAAAATCTTTAGACTAAAAATTGAGGGTAATCTTATACACGGAAGTAAGCTGAGGAGAGAACAAAAACAGGCCTGCATCCACCCGCATCCTGCATTCGTGACGGAGGTGGTCTAACTCTCTTTTGAGAGAAATGTACCGTATTTTTCCATGTATATATATGAGAGTTGCCTTCAGCCATGGACTGTTTTCTCTCCAAGGGAACAACCCACCATTGTGCTGACCACTACACACCGTGAGAAGCTGGTTTTCCACCAGCCCCTGTTCTTTTTAGCGGGTAAGATCTGGCTGTTCCATTGTTAACTGCTTTTCAAAAGGCTTGCTGATTTCCAGCTGGCCTCTTTTTATTGCTACTTCTCAAAATGTTTGCTTTCCCTGTTATTGTTTGCCACTAGGGAAGTATGTTGCTGATGTTTTTTTGTGTGTGTGTGTGTGTGTTTTCGTTTTGGGTCGCACAGGATGAGATCTGTTTTGAATGAGAGGTGGAAAAGGGTGCAGCTTGCAGGCTGGGACAGCCGAGGGGCTAATCCCGAGGGCGTCCCTCCCCCACACCCCTGCTCTTAAGGAGTTAAAAATGGGATGGGGTGTGAAAACACACACATATTTTTCTGTTCCTGCAAGCTTCTGCAGTAGCTATTTTCATATTAAACAGGCGGTGGGGGGGGGAACGGAACGGACACAAAAGCTCAAGTTAAAAACAAGGATAAAAATTCGTCCTTAAGGAGCCACACAATTTTTGTCTCCCCCCCCCCACTTTTTATTTTCTTTTGTTTCCACCTATATTATTTTATCTTATTTACTCTGTCTGGCTCTGTTGCCAAAAGTTAGAGCCACTTCTCTTGGCCTGCCTCGGCTTTTGACAAATTACTCATTGGACTACAACTCCCAGAAATCGTCAGCCAACTCATCCAAAGCATGGCAGGGTTACTTAAAAAAATTAATCAAAAACGATGATTGTTCCTTAACCCCCTGACAGCCAAGGCCATTGGGCTCAGAGGGGATCCGGGAGTGTTAGCCCCAAAGAGTCACTTTTCCAAACTCTTGCAAAGCTATGATTGGGGGAGATGGAAGCTGCAATCCAGCACCTCAGGACCAACGCGTGAAAGAGGCCTGCGGTTTGGGCCCCAAACATAAACAGGGCCTTTGTGTGCAGGTCTGCGAGTCTGGACGACATGCTGCTTGGGGGATTCTGGGTGTCGTCGTCCGAAAGCACAAAACCGCACACTTTCAGCTCTGATCTTCAAAAACGTTTCATTTGGAAGCTGCAATTTTTGGTTGTTGTTTTTTTTTTAAATGAATGCCGAGAAATTGTTCCGAAATGTTGCCAAGGAAGAAATGCCTCCTCTTGATGACATTTCTTCCCTCCCTGATTTTCCCCTTGGGTGGGGGACCTTCTTTTAAAACTTAAGTTGCCAATCTGAAGACAATATTCTGAACCCTGGACAGGCCCTCAATAGCAGTCCAGGGGCGGTAAAGATTGTGGTGGCACACACTGCATACGTCACCATTCAAAATTTTTAAAAAAATGAATGCCGAGAAATTGTTCCGAAATGTTGCCAAGGAAGAAATGCCTCCTCTTGATGACATTTCTTCCCTCCCTGATTTTGTGTGTGTAGCATGCTATATAAATTGCTCTGTTCGGGCGAACGTTGGCAGGGGCCTGTCATGGCCGCCCAGTCGCATAACCGAATCTCTCCCGCGCATCTTCCCAGCCGTGTGAGAATATCATCATGTCACGTTGGAGCTCCTCAAACTACTTGGCCCGTCGGCGTCGGAGGCCAAGCCATTCCGGCTGCCTCTCCAATGTCTCCCCCCCCCAAAGTTTGGAGTCTCTGCAAGTCATTCTGTCGGCGCGGATGGCACCGGGGGGAATGTCAGTGAATTCAGCATCTCTCTGCCCTTGTGGCCACGAGAGGTCTAGACATCTCAAGCATTCAAAAAAAGAGAGCTAAAGAGCATCTCAGAAGAAGGCAGGCGGCAAAAGGACTTGGATTCTGCTTTATGTCTCTGGGACAACGGCTGTCTACGGAGAAAACAAGCATTCTGATAGCACTGGACTCTTCCAGAGATGAAAACTTGCATTTCCTCTTTTTTTGGACAGCTTCTCACTAGAGATGGGATATCCGTATTCGTATCCCTGGGGATACGAGTACAAATATCGGCAGCCGCGGGCGTCCAATCCCTCCCCCTGCCCCTGAACCCCAATTATCAGTTGCCGCACGGCACATCCAGCTGGTGTTGTTTCCGTCATGCCGATGGCAGAGGTAGCCCGGCCGGCGCTTCCCCACCTCCCTGCGCAGCCAACCACTCAAGGGTTTGAACGGGGAGACTCGTCCTCTCCCCTCCTCGCTGGAGTGGTCGACTGCACAAGGAGACATCAGCTGAGCGACTTCCGCAATGTGTACGACGGGAACCACGCCAGCCACACACGGCCGAGCAGCGACCAGTCATCGGACCTGCTCTTTCGGGGAGCACGGGCTTTCTCCTATGGTGCTAATATTCATATTAGTATCCCTAGAGAGAGGAATAAAAACATCCCATCTCTACTACTACACACATGCATCACGGCTAGCGTGGACACTCATTTCTCATGAGGGCTGCGGGGAGCCTATTCTTTCTCAAAAGCAACAAGGGGTGGCTCTCGCCCTTAATGCAACGCTGTGGCCCCAGCCTACGATTTTCGTAGTTTGGAAAGGTGTGATTAAGTGCGCTGAGTCACAGTGCTGGTGTGTGTGTGTGTGTGTACGTAAGTCGAGACCCCACTGTAGTTTGGAAAGGTGTGATTAAGCGCGCTGAGTCGCAGTGCTGGTGTGTGTGGGTGTGTGGGTGGGGGCCTTACCTCATGTAGGTTGAGTTCTTTGACTTTTTCCTTCAAGATGACCTGCAGCAGGGAAAAGGGGCCCGTTAGAAGAGGAAAGGTACAAGAGTAGGAAAATTCCAGAGAATCAAAAGAATCCAGCTTGAATTCTGGAGAGATCGGCACTTCTTGCTCCTGTGCTCATACAGCGACGGCTACAGAGTTTTAAGGCGGCTTCAGCCCAACCACAGTACAGTATTAAGTGCCAAAGGAAGCCTTCTGTCTGGGCCCAAAGTGGCACCAACACACAGCCCATGGATAAAACCTTAAAGGATTTCAATGCACTGAGCAGTTTCCCTGGGACTCTGAAAAAGCACAGCCGATTCATAAGCTTTCCCCAGTGATTCACATTCTGTTTAATGAGGTTTAGTCCTTCATACATGTATCTAGGACTAATGCTCCAGAATTAATATTGCTTGGCCTGCAGAGTGTCGTGGAACCTATCCATAACAATAATTAATGTGGCACCACAGTGTCCGTTTGCTAAAGACTTCACATTAATGAAGCCATACAGGGAAATGCATGATGTATTCATAATCACTTCCGCGTTACAAACCAAATCCCTAGGAAATGTCCTAACTAATGTGAGAAATATTACTCCCTGGCTTAGACCTAATAACACGTTCTCATTAGGAATGAAACAACAAGCAAGCGAGATCTTAAAAGAAAAGGAAAAAAAAGGTTTAGGGCTGCCAGAAGCCATGGAAAAAAAGACCAAAAGACACAGAGGAAGAGAGAAGGGAAAAAAACACACAGAGAGGGAGAGAGCTTACCTGTTTGTATGCATAAAGTTCTTTGTGGGCTTGATGTCTCAGCCTAGAAATCAAGAACAAAAATAAATATGAAGAAGGCAGATTACAGAAACAAAACATTCGAGCAGCCCTGAAGCACGACCCGATTAAAAAAAAAAAAGACAGTAACTGGAAATGTCTTTTAAGACATGCTCCCCCACAAATAAAATAGAAGGCATGCTTTTGTTTAAGGACTCTAAATAAAATAGCAAATAATTCCTGGGCTATATATTTTCACATGGGGGCCAGGGAGGGAAATCACACATCAAGGTAAACCATGGTTTAATGTGACACGCATGAACAGGAGTAAACTGGAGCAAGCCATGATCGCTTGTACTCTTTCTTAACTACAACTTCTATCTGATAACGAGAACAGAGACTTAAACAAGACAGCATGAGAAAAAGCTGGCTTCTTGTAAAATAACGACATCCCTTAAGGAGACTGGTTCCAAAAGGCCCCCCCTCCATGAATGCTGTAAACCACGGATAAGAGAGAACGCCATACATATCATGGTAAAAAGGGGGAGGAATTAGAAAGGATTTTCACCATGTATTACCAGAGCTCCCTCTAATGGCCAGTTCTAGTAAATACATTGTGAAAATATGTATTTTTCCCCCTTTAACGTTTTTAATATTTTCAGACCACAGATAAGTGAAAAAGCAGATACTGATGCCACAGACAGGGGCTCATGCTGTGTTGCTAATAATGGCCACAGTATATCTATGTGGACACCACAACAAACCACAATTAAGAGAAAGTAAAAAACGAATCCTTCCAGGTTATGTGAGATGGTGGAGAGCGACAGAAGCCAAACAGTCAATGACATACATTCCTACTAGTGCACACTGCTCTTGAACAATGGCTTCGCATAAGATCCTAATACAGCCTAATACATCTGGGAAGTGCGAGTGAGAATCCTTCCACACAGGAAGCCAGATGCCGAGCAGTGTTTAAATCTAGCTACTCTTCTCTCTAGCATGTTAAATTTCTCACTACAAAGGATTTCGTTTTAATTTAAGGTGGGTCGATATTAAAAAATGCAACCAGCTGCATTATGAGTTTTAACTCCTTCAGAAGCCTGAGTCTTTCCTTCCACTTGGTTAGACGGTCGCCAGAATTCTTATCAGGGGAAGTTACCGGGTACCTATAAGAGCTGGAGGGCTCAGCGGTATAGCTCTCTGGCTGCAAAGCTAAAGGTTGTGAATTCAGATTCCCACTGTCCCTTGACAGGGACTAGACTCTTGATGATCCAGAGTAAAGATGGGCATGAATTAAGTCAAAGGTGCTGAGTGGACCCTCCAGCTGGCCCATTTACCCTCCGTTGGCCCCAGCTATGGTCTCCCTTCCCTGCCTCCGCCGTCAACGGTGCGGGGAGAATCCCTGTCTCACCTCCTCATCGGAATGGTTGGCTGCCAGGGGAGGCAGGGAAAGGAAGCCCAAGCTACTGCCCAGACCGAAGTACCACTAGCAAAGGAGGGGCACGGCAGATGGCGAGTGGGCTAGCCAGCCTGCGGTGTGGGAGAAGGGTTTGTGCAGCACCTGTGGCGCCACGCGGAGGACTTCGCACAAAGGGGCACAACATAATTCATGCCCGTCTCTAATCCAGGGGGTTGTTTCCAGCTCTGCAGTTCTAAGACTATTATGATCATGATGCCTTCTGAAGTCATCAGAATGGCGTTGTACTCAGTAGAAGTTTGCAAAGCAACATTATACCTGTACATGTACATTTTCATGTAAACAAATAGACATAATATTTAAGGTTGCTGTGTACAATGCAGCTTTTCAAATGCTCTTCCCATAAAGCCAAAACAGATGCTTGAACTGCAGGAACTATCTGGGTGGCAGTTCTATTCTCAGCTCTTCCTACCACTTCCAGCTGCCAAAAACATTACACGTTACACTGAGGATGCTGAGCCCCTTCCTCTGTTTTAAGTAACTTAATTTTAATTGGAGAGTAGGAGGATATCCGTCTGCAATTTCCATTAGCTCAGCACACAAGTCGAAGTTGGAGGAGCTGAACCTAGACTGGAGGAGGGGGACCAGTGGCCCACCCCTATCTTAAAGAGCCCCAAACGTTTGCTTTGTTTTGCAGATAATGTATGCTTTGTTTTGCTTTGTTTTGCTAACAATAATGTAGTGTGTGTGTTTTTTGGGGGGGGGAGGAATAACTGTTATAGCTTTACCTCCATTAATAGTACACTTAGGTTCTCCAAGTTCAAAGATAGTGATCTGTAATATGCCGCCCACACTACCCGAAGGTCTAGGTTGTAAAATGTTTGCTTTGTTTTGCAGAGTTACTAATGCTAACAATAATGTAGTGTGTGTTTTTTTGGGGGGGAGGAATAACTGTTATAGATTTACCTCCATTAATAGTACACTTAAGATTCTCCAAGTTCAAAGACAGTGATCTGTAAAAAAACAGACAGCCCAGTCTAGAAGACCAGGTTTATGTCCAGTCTGACCGCTTGCAAGAGGGGAAAAGATAAGGGATGCAGTAAGTCTAACTGAAGCACCTCAGTGGATCTAACGCAGATTTCCTCTCCCATGGTGGGACTGTTAATCTTTTTTTTAAAAGATGAATTTCTGAAAGAATGACTTGGACCAGTTTTTGCAGCACTGGCTTGTACATCAGCAGCATCCTCTGTAATGCCGCAAACTTTTATTTTATTGTTCTAACACCAGGTGCTTGTATTGACCAATAAAAACAATTTTGTCTGACTAGTGCAGGGAAACACCGTGCGCCGGATCTGCGCATTTAGACATCAAAACAGGTACTTCTCCTTTCAGTTTATTGTAATGTTAACACCAGACTGAATGATCTCCGCCCACTACTTTCCACTGGGTAATGCTTGCAAAAACGTGTGCTTCGAAATGGGTAGGCAGAACTATATGCCCAGAGGATGAAGACAATGAACCAGTTAAAAGATAAGGCCAATAAATCAAAGCAATTATTTCTTTCTTAACAAAGACTTTACTCAAGACCTCGGAGAGCTGCCGAGAGTACTGGTCTAACACGGGCTAAAATTAGAGAGGCCAACGACACCATCCACCACCAACCTGGCTTCCATATGTTCCCGCTGAGCTTAACTGCCGATTAATCGGTTTTCAATGCACTGTAGGTCAATGGAGACTTGACTTACAGACTTTTTGACTTGAGAACCGCCTTCCAATATGGATTAAGTTCTCAAGTCAAGACCCCACTGTACTTCTCCTTTCAGTTTATCATAATGTTAACACCAGACTGAAGGATCTCCGCCCACTACTTTCCACTGGGTAATGCTTGCAAAAACGTGTGCTTCGAAATGGGTAGGCAGAACTATATGCCCATCCACCACCAACCTGACTTCCATATATGTTCCCGCTGAGCTTAACTGTGAATTTCGTTGTATGGTATACTGTGTATATACTTACAATGACAATAAATTATATTATTATTATCCTCACACTTGATGGGGCAGTCATGTTGCTGCAAGCTCCCTCTGTTGTAACGAAAAGTATTTGGGAGTGGTTTTCTTGATTGGGAAATTAAGAGTCGTTGGCTTTACACAAGACCCACTCCTCAACCCTTGTAGCCGGCCAATCCAATGCCTTCGTTTTTAACTTTCCTACCTGGCAGAAGCTGGACAGTGAGGACAAGCTGCTCACACATGCAAATCTGCCATCACGCCACTTTCTGTACGATCACAGGATGCATGAGTGGAATCACCCACACAAAATCACTATTGTTGCTTTCTTGCCCAAGTGCAAGGAGGTGACAAAAAGCCCCTTCCTTAGGGTCCATTCTGCCAGAGGTCTCTGCACATTTCCTGGCCATTTCCACAGGCCATTCAGGATCCACACCAGAAATCTACAGACCAATATGTTGACGCGCAACGCAGAACAAAGATCTGTGTCGCAATTCCAAATCGGGCCTTCTCTTTCTCAATGGATGAGTAGAATGCCAGCTTTGTAGAGACGCTGCCCAAGCCCTCAATGGAACAGTCGCCCGTTAGCACAAGGAAGGGCTTAATGATCGAAGAGAAATGGCATTTATGCTCGTTGCTGGACAAAAGGATAACTGCATCTTTTTCGTTTCTGCAAGAAGGAACACAGAGCGACTTGTCTAAGCTGAGCTCAGCTGAAGCTGAAAAATAATTAACTCTCCAAAGAGCTTTATGGACTAATATGCAGTTGGGTTTTAGGTGGAGAGCACTGGATTTGGGCCCGTTTACACTGCGGAGCCGCCACAAAATGTAAGCGAGCCCAAGACTGAAGGTGGTGAGACAGGTTGTAAAACAGACACTTCTCCTGGCCATGATTCCACTGGGAGAATCAAAACTTTCTTCCCCTCTTTGGTTCCTCCCAGTCCCACCCCACCCCCAATACCTGACCTCTGCACTGGCAAACAAGCCACTCTGGAGCTTTTCCTTTACCCTTTCAGAGAAGGGGGAAAACCACACCATTCTGCTTGTGGAGAAGAAACAGATCCAGCAGAAGGACACGGATTGATCCTGGACCTGGTCAACTACGGTGAGCATCATGGACTTCCAGGCGAACGCCATCTGAAGAAGGTTTTGCATGCTTTTCTTTCACTCCTTCATGAGCAAGGCAAGCTGTGTATGCCAACAAAACTCCTGAAGGTTTTGCATGCTTTTCTTTCACTCCTGTATGTGACACAGAACTACCAGCATGAGCTAGGCAAGCTGTGTACAAAACTCCTAGATTTATTGGTTGTTGTTTTGTTGTTTAGTCATTAAGTCATGTATGACTCTTCGTGACCCCACGGACCAGAGCACACCAGGCCCTCCTGTCTTTCACGGCCTCCCGGAGTTGGGTCAAAATTCATGTTGGTCGCTTCGATGACACTGTCCAACCATCTCGTCCTCTGTTGTCCCCTTCTCCTCTTGCTCTCACTCTTTCCCAACATCAGGGTCTTTTCCAAGGAATCTTCTCTTCTCATGAGATGGCCAAAGTACTGGAGCCTCAGCTTCAGGATCTGTCCTTCCAGTGAGCACTCAGGGTTCATTTTCTTCAGAACGGATAGG